ATCAGCCTGGAGAATCACCAACACTTGGACATAGAGCAAGGGTCTTATCAACGTGGATCAGCTTTGACTCCAGATGGCAAAGAGAAGAGGGGAGCCAAACAAAGAAACAGAAGCAGAGAGTAGAAATATAAATCCCATAATGCATTCACCAGAGCCGCAGCAGGCTGCAGACAGAACAGAGGACTAACTAGCCTTCCTGAGCTGCCTCTGTCTGTCTAAATGAGCGCCTGAGTACAGTACCAAAAACTTGGAGAAGGCTTTTTTATGCCATCATGGGGAACCTAGACGAGGAGCCCTGAGCGCTGGCTAGAAGTGAGTCCACCATTTCTCCAAAGTCAGAAAAGCATACTTCTTCCAAATGCACAAAAGATCTGTTTGTAAATCAATGATTAAAGATCTGTGGAGAGATGCCCTAGTTCATGTCTGCTGAGAGATCAGGTTGTTGAGGAGGCCCCAGTGAAACTTCCTCAGGCTGCAGTAGAAATACTAGCTATATACATCATTATCTGACTTCCCCGTGCAAGACATAAAAATGCCCTTTCTGGGGACATTATTTTCACAGGCAGAATATGCATGATTATTTAGACATCAATTGTCTACAAAACTACTTATCCATCTGTGATATTTTTTCTTCTCAACATGCAGACTAAAGCCAGCCTGAACTGATTTTGAAAAATCTACTAAGCCTCATGCAGGGAATAAAGCATCAGTACTGGCGATGTCACCAACCTTGACGAGGTCTGTGAAACAGGAAGATAGCAGTCTACCTTTTAAACATCATTCACAAGAAGCTGTATTTACGTACTGGCATTAGGAGGAAGTCAAGAACAGTGTGGACGGTGGAGCTCAGGAGGCAGGCCACAGACCCTGATTATAGTTTTGTTGTAGTCTCAGCAATGCACCAAGATGTAACAGTCTCCAGTTGTCTGAGATAACACCCAGAGTTATTTGTCTTACCTCCAAGAAGACACAAAGGTGAGTTTGGAGAGAAAGTTTAATAAGCAAAAGAAGAAAGCTCTCTGTCAGCAGAGAGGGGGACCTGAACAGGGTGTCCCATATGAGGCTGGGTTCCAGGGTTTTTAGGGGCTGGGAAGGGAAAGGAATGTGCCTAGTCCCAGGGCTGCCTTGGAGAACATGTGATTCCGCTTGACCCGGGACCAACCAGGAAGCTTGGCCGGGGACCTTGGGCAAGGAACAATCAGGGGCTTAAGTGATGATTCATAGAGCCCAGGCTTACATTCCAGAAAAGAAAGGAAAGTACCCATCGGAACCCACTGGAGCCCACTGTGCTCTTGCCCACAAAGGGAGAAGAAACTTCTTCCTGGAAGCCTGCTGACCATACAAAGGACAAAGGCATTTCTATGCCAGGCCTTGTCTCCTTATCTGAGTGAGCCCGAGGTCTATGCGAGTTTTTATTTCTATGTCAGGCCTTTCTTCCCTTATCTCAGTGGTCCGGAGGTCTCTGCAAGTTTTTGTTTCTATGTCAGGCCTTTGTTCCCTTATCTGAGTGGTCCGGAGGTCTCTGCAAGTTTTTGTTTTCTGTGTCAGGCCTTGTTCCCTTATCTGAGTGAACCGGAGGTCTGTGCAAGTTTTTATCCAAATGGGTCAAGGTTTTTCTATCTGTGCAGCCCTGGGCATGTCTCTGGGCACAACACCCTGTGCCAGTTCCTTATCAGTGCCTGCAGCTTGAATTTTTTCCCAGGCTGCTTTTTATGTTATGTGGGGACCAGACAGTGACCCATGGGCCGGGAGCTCTCCAGGGACCATTCCCTTGCTATCTACCTAAGGCAGGCTAACAACTCCTTTCAGTTTCAACAGTGAAATAATTTGCTTTCTAAAACGAATCTCAGGGAAGACTTCTGGCCTATTTCACATGAATAAATGAATCTCAGGGAGGACTTTTGGACTATTTTACATGAATCTAGAGAGATCAGAGAGAGCAGAGAATTAATAGACTTTGAAAACAGAAATTTCAAAGTTGAGGAGTTGCTCAAGCTGGAAATGCAGGCCCTAACAGAGGGATACTTTCTGTTCTTGAGCAAAAATCTCCAGCAGTTTTATGCACCCAACAACTGCAGTTTTATGCACACAACAACTTCCTGGAAATAATTATCACCCCTCCTTAGAGGACTGGGCCAGAAGAAAGAGAACCTACATTTCTTCTATGTTCAGCAAGAAGATCACAAAGAAAATCTGCAGGTTTGATACTCCATTGCCAGATACGACCCTTAGAGATATCACATATACCTAATTACTACTGCTTAGCATCCCATGATTGCTAGGACAAAGAATGAATTTCTAACTATAATAGCATTCGGCAATGCAGGATACAGACCATTTGGCCTTGACAGTAACCAAAGGGCGTAATAAATTACAGAAAAGATTTTTCAAAGTGAAGGGACAAAGCATGCTATGTGGAAGTGAAGAAAAATTTAAAATAAGGCTAGGCATCAGAAAAATGATTTGATCAATTTAAACCTTGGAAAAAAATACCATGGCACTAACTTAAAGAATATAAAAAGCCACAATACAAAAACACAGCTAAGGGGACAGTTCCTTAAATTCAGAGATTTCATCACTGATTACACACACACAGTATAAAATTTGGATTCCACATTTTCCTTCTAAATTTTATTTGGGAATATCACTCTTCTAACTATAGAACAAACATCTAGACTGTCAGACCCCTGAAGAGAGAAGCCAGACACCATTAGTGTCTGAACAGTCAGAGCTCAATACATCATAAATGGTGTGAGTTAAAGACATATTATATAGATAATTTAGTGATAGAACCCTCAAATTTCTTTAAACATAGTATTTCAAATTACTATACTTTGTTTGGAGATTTGAAATGAGACAAATTGTACCCAAATATTGAACCATAAATTAAACGAATAGGACAGGAAAAAAATTCTCCTGACTTAGATTTTGATTCCTCACTCCCACCCCTCTTACTTGCCTCATACTATTTTTGTTGAAGGTATTGAGTTAAATCTTTAATGGATGACATGTAAGAAGTTATGCTAACTTAGACTAGCTCACGGGTGCCAGGCAGGGGTCTGTGGATTCTGAAATGATCCACTTAACTGTTAAACGCCAGTCCCATTTTCTATTCAGTATAGGCCTGCTCTGATGAAGCACCACTCCATAGCTACTCTCCATTTAAGTGTGGAATATATTACTTAAATTTTTAAATAACTTTAAAGTATAAACATGATTTTCTTTTAAAGTAAAAGTAAATAAATGGAAGACCAACCACAGCTCTGGGGCACACCAGGCCTTACACTGAGCCTCCCCTCCCCTAAACGTCCACAGCAGCCTTTATTGGTCAGTATCTCATTTCCCTGACCCTCTTGCGTCTGGCACTAAGGCTAGAGTTAACACAGAGGCTTAAAGATAGCAAAAAGCTTGAGTAAACAGTTTCTCAGAGGAAGAAACTTTGCAATGTTTTTTACATTCTGTCAAGTGAGAAACCCGCACGGTACAGACTATTATTGAGACTATTATTAAGCCTACTTCTGTTCAGCTTTAGAGACTGCTTAAGAAAACTTGTTACTGAAACAGACTCTGCTGGTGGTCTTGGAGCAGCACAGAATGTTGGGGCTTACTTTACTGGTGATGAGAATGACATTGCCACAGAACAGTTGCTTATCTCCAAGTCTGTGGGGATCAGATAGGTGAACTACGTTTTGAGGTGAGGAGTTGTTCTTTGTTTTGGAGGGGTTTTGTAAGTGTACGTATACATATATATGGTAAACAGTTTAATAAAATTACTTTTCTTATGTTTCATTGCTTAGTCACATCCCATACACAGTTATCATTAAAATCTACTGTTGGCCAGTACCACATTTAGAAGACTCTAGCACTGTAAAAGCATGGGAAGGTATTATGGACCTCAAGGTAAATTTCAAAAAGAGCTTGTCTCTAACATGACTCACTGTGGAGTGAAAGCACTAAGTTCTGTTTAGTTCTACCTGAGAGTAGATGACTTTTACTCACAAGTGTTCGTTAGCAAACAGGGAACAAAAGCTTCTCTTAGCTTTGGCACTCTCTGTTCCCCAGGAAGGTTTCTGGCTGATGGAGGCAGTGAGTCGCCCAAAATGCATCGACAACCCCAAAATGGGCCAATAGAACATCCTAGAATCCTACCCAGGCCAGGACCCAGAGACTGGAAGCTAAGAACTGTTATCAGCCAATTGGGTCTTCATCAAAGCATAGCTGTACAGCTCCAGCTCCTTTGAGGGGGAGAAAGGAAGCTGGTGCAGGAAGGGTGTGCTGATTCCCCAAGGTCTGATGATACTCTAGACCACCCCTAACCATATAGGCAGGATCCAGAATAGAATTTCACTTTGAAAATGGATAGCACTATTATAAGGGTATTGCTTCTTGGGAAAGTACACAATGCTTACTCTGAAACTTTAACTCAAAAATGTCAAAGCCACACCTGTATGCAGGCACCTTCTCCTCTTAAAAATACAGAGTATTTTGGTTTTCAACTACCACATGAAGACTTTTCAAAACTTTAACCGTCTAATGTAGTGCACATGTTCAGCAGACTTTACAAGAGATCCTGGCCAGGCATGGGGGCTCATGCCTGTAATTCCAGCACTTTGGGAGGCCAAGACAGGCAGATCACTTGAAGTCAGGAGTTCAAGACCAGCCTGGCCAACATGGTGAAACCTCATCTCTACTAAAAATACAAAAATCGGCCAGGCATGGTGGTGGGTACCTGTAGTCCCAGCTACTCAGGAGGCTAAGGTGGGAGAATTGCTTGAACCGGGGAGGCAGAGATTGCAGTGAGCTAAGATGTGGCTCCCCACAGCACACCAGCCTGGGTGACAGAGTGAGACTCTGTCTCCAAAAAAACAAAGAGATCCTACGCAATCCTTCATACCTATTTCACAAAATATGGTCAATTCTGGGTTTCTGGGGGTGATATTTAAGATTATACATAGAACCAAATTGTTTTACTCACAACATATTACCATCCAAACTGCATGGACACACAAACCGATTTATGCAAAGGCCCCGACAGAATGATACTTAGTTTTCCAGATTAGGTACATAGGGCCAACCAGTCCACCCTGTACATCCCAGCAAAGACAAGAGCAGCAACTTTTCTATTTCAATACAATTATGGGCAGAAATTATATGATGTAAAATAGAGGCCCTTCCATAAAGTTAAGGTTTAGGGTAGAAGAAGGAAAGATAAAACCAAAATTCCCATGAAGTCAGAATTCGCCTTGGTCTTTTACTCTGTTGAACCCTGTGATGAACTGTAGACCTCAGACTCATGGACTCGGGTCCGGGTTCACCAAGACACTTCAGTCTGCTTCCAACTGGTTCATCATCATCTTCCTGCTGTATTCATAGACCACAAACAGCGCCCCATTTGCAGGGACTGCTCGAAGCATAGTTGCTTTCAGTCCAGAATATAAGGCTGCTATTCCTTCATTTGTCACAATACTTAAGAGGGTACCAATAAATCCTGCCTGTTTTCCATACATAGAAAGAACTTGAATTCTGGATTTAATACAATCCACTGGGAACACGACAAGCCAGAGAGAAATTCCAGCAACTCCACCACTTAACATCAAATGGACAGGGCCTAGTTCATCTTTTGATCTCCCTGATGCAAAAAAGGATCGGCTCAGTTCATAGCCACCAAAGAAGAAGAAGTAACCCGGTACTTCTTGAAGTAGAGTACTGGAGAGTCCGTGGTAGAAGCCCCAGGGGCCATCCTTTTTAAGGATGCTCTTCACGACAGACCAAATTGTATTATGGCTTTTTGCTATCTTCCCTGACATCTCCATTTCATGCATGGTCTGTAGCCGGCACTTCACAAGCTCAGTGGGGCAGAGAGCCAATGCGGCAAATGCAGAGGCAAAGGACCCCGCGGTCGCAGTCTGTAGATCACTCAGCTTTGCCTGCTTGTCCAGTCCAGCCATTTTCCTAACAAACTGCTGGCAGAACCCGTAGCACATGAAGAGGACCGAGTTTTCGGCGACGTAGGCCATCAGCGCCGGGCCAGTGCCCCTGTAGAAGCCCCGGAGACCTACTTGGGTGTACGTCTTCAGGAAGCAGTCGGTGAAGCCCTTGTACATGTCGGGAAACGTCTGCATCTTCACTTTTATTGTGTCGAAGGGCTGCCCGGTCAGCACACACGCTGTCCCGCCGGCGGCCCCCGCTGTGAGGTCGATGGCGGCTTGGATGCCAGGACTGGACTTCATGTTCGCTCACTCGTCTGAGGGTCCCAGTGGAAGGCGACTAACTCCCCAGAGCATGGGACGGGCTTTTCACGTCCCACTGCAGCGAGTGTGGGGATTGGGTTTGGGGTTTGGGGGTGGGGGAGCCCTGCCTCCTGTTCTAGGCTCTCACCCCAGTATGGCGGAGGCCGCTTAACCCCACGCTCTGCCGCGGGCCTCCCCCTCCCCGCGCACTGAAATAACCCCCAGCCGCCGGCTCCGCACGTGGCTCACTGAGTCCCGGCGGCCCATGACGCACTGGCCAGGCCCCAGCCCCTCCAGCCTGGACCGCACCCCCTATCCCCGCACCCGCAGGCGAGTGATGTGGACCTAATAAATACTTCTAGTAAACTGCGACCGGGCAGGGTGGCTCAATTTCTGTATCCCAGCACTTTGGGAGGCTGAGGCGGGAGGATTGCTTGAGCCCAGGAGTTGGAGACCAGCCTGGGCAACATGACAAGACTCCAGTTCTACAAAAACACAAAAACTGCCGGGCCTGATGGTGCTTTCCTGTGGTCCCAGCTATTCAGGAGGCTGAGGTGAGGATCGCTTGAACCTGGGAGGTCGAGGCTGCAGTGAACTATGATGGCACCACTGCATTCCAGGGTGGGCGACAGAGTGAGACCCTGTCTCAAAACAAAACCAAAACCAGGAAAACGTTTAAAGCTTTTTGATAAATTCTTGCAATTATGGCCGGAAACTCTAGGCGCTTCTATTCAACTGGGGGTAAAATAAATGCTGTCCTAATCAGCCAGCCTTGTTTCTTTCCTTTCCTTTTCTTTCTTTTTTTTTCTTTTCTTTCTTTCTTTTTTTTTTTTTTTTTTGTCAGGGTCTCAGTCTGTTGCCTAAGCTGGAGTTTAGTGGCGCAATCCCAGCTCACTGTAGCCCTAGTCTCCCGGGTTCAATCCTCCCACCTCAGCCTGCTGAGTAGCTGAGACTAGAGGGACTACAGGCGCAAGCCACCACATACGGCTTTTTTGTATTGCAGAGACAGGGTTTCACCATGTTGCTCAGGCTGTTTTCGAACTCCTGAGCTCAAGCAATCCACCCACCTTGGCCTCCCAAAGTACTGGGGATTACAAGGGTAAACCACCGCGCCTGGCCTGTCCCACACTTCTTATCATGCAAAAAAACAAAAACAAACAAAAAAGAAGATGCCCTCACTTGAATGGAGCCTGAATTCAGAGGGTAAATCTACAGAAACACTGCTTTAAAGTAGGTAAGATAGCCCAGGTGGGGTTGCTCATGCCTGAAATCTCAACACTTGGAGAGGCTGAGGCAGGAGGATCATTTGAGACTAGGAGTTCAAGACTAGCTTGGGCAGCAAAATGAGACCTCCTCACCAAAAATAATAATAGTAATAATAATAATAAACTGTCAGAGGTGCTAGAACCAGAGCAACTCCATCTTGAATAGGGACTGTGTCAAGGGACTGGGTAAAGTAAGGCTGAGACCTACTGGACTGCATTCCCAGGAAGACAGGCATTCTAAGTCACAGGATGAGATAGGAGGCCTGCAACAAGATACAGGTCACAAAGACCTTGCTGATAAAACAGGTTTCAGTAAAGAAGACAGCCAAATCCCACCAGGATCAGGATGGCATCATAAGTGACCTATGGTCGTGTTTACTGCTCATTATACGCCAATTATAATACATTAACATGCTAAAAGACATGCCCACCAGTGCCATGACTACTTACAGGTACCATGGCAACATCAGGAAGTGACCCTATATGGTCTAAAAAGGGGGAGGAATCCTCAGTTCTGGTAACTGGACCCCTTTCTCGGAAACCTGATGAATAATCTACCCCTTGTTTAGCATATATTCAATAAGTAACTGTAAGTATCCTTAGTCAAGCCACCCATGCCACTGCTGTGCCTATGAAGTAGGCATTCTTTTGTTTCTTTACTTCTCTAATAAACATGCTTTCACTTTATGGATTTGCCCCAAATTATTTCTTGCGTGAGCTCCAAGAACTATCTCTTGAGTCTGGATTGGGACCCCTTTCCGGGAACCAAACGATCTAAGGGTTGTTACATGAGAGACAATGACTGCTTTTGATCAGAAAACCTTCAGCGACCTGCCCATGCTTCTCACTTTCCTGGGGGACAGGGAGGAGGTCAGGGCACTGTGGGAGTCCTTAGCTTGGTAGATGTGATACTGCTTGCCTGCAGAGCTGGAGAAATGCTATCACATGGCAACATCCCCAAGGACCTGGGGCTGCAACCCTGGGAACTGGTGGAACACCAGTCCTTACATTTCTGGAGATAGGACATAGCACTACAAAATCACTTGGAAAATGGATAGTATGTATATACTGCATTGCTAAGAAACTTGATAGAAAAGAGCTGGGTGGCTCAGCACCATGCTTTCTAAGTTTTGAGGTTTACTTTGAGGACCCACACAGCCTCATGTAGTAGAAGTAGAAATTTGTCACTTATACACTGTTGGTGGGAATGTAAAATAGTTCAACCCCTATGGAAAGCAGTATGGAGATTTCTCAAAAACTAAAAATAGTATACCCATTCAACCCAGCAATCCCACTATTGGGTATCTATCCAAAGGAAAATAAATCATTTTATCAAAGACACCTGTGCCAGGGACAGTGGCTCACACCTGTAATCCCAGAACTTTGGGAGCCAGAGCTAAGTGGATTGTTTGAACCCAGAAGTTCCAGACCAGCCTGGACAACATGGCAAAATGCCATCTCTACAAAAAAACACAAAAGGTAGCCATGCGTGGTGGCATGCACCTGTAGTAGCAGCTACACAGGAGGCTGAGATGGGAGGACTGACTGATCTGAGGAGGTGGAGACTGCAGTGAGCTGTGATCCAGCCTGGGTGGCAAAACAAGACCCCTGCACTTATATGTTTACGGCAGCACTATTCACAATAGGAAAGTCACAGAATCAACCTAAGTGTTCATCGACAGTTGAATGGATAAAGAAAATGTGGTATATGTATACCATGGAATACCATGTAGCCAAAAAAAAAAAATGAAATCATGTCCTTCACAACATGGATGGAGCGGAAGGCCTTTATTCTAAGTGAAATATCTTAGAAACAGAAAATCAAATACTCTATGTTCTCACTTGTAGGTGGGAGCTAAACAATGGGTACACATGAACATAAAGATGGGAATAACAGACTCTGGAGACTCCAACAGTGGGGAGGGTGGGAGAAACTGAGGGTTGAAAACCTACCTGTTGGGTATTACATTCACTATCTGGGCGATGGGTTCATTAGAAGCCTAAACCTCAGTATTACACAATATATCCATGAAACAAACCTGCACATGTACCCCTTGAATCTAATATGAAATTAAATTTAAAAAGAAGTAGAAGTTCGGGATATAAATGACAACATGCCTAGCTTTCAAGGCAAGATGTTTTTTGGACATTAGTGAGGACACCACTGTCAGGACACACTTTTTCCTCCCAGATGCTCATAATCCCAGCATTGGAATGAATTCTCTCCAGTCTTACATTCCAAGCTATAGTCGGCCATGAGTAGTAAAAACGAATTCTGGGGATAAGAAAGTATGCTGAAAGCATTCTCTCTTTCATTTAGAAAACTTTCCTAATTATCCTTGGCTGTCAATTAAAAGTGAGGTACTTCAGAACAAACATCTCTTAGAAAATTAAAAAAAAAAATTTTTTTTTAATGAGGAAAAGCAAATTGTGCATGGATAATTTGTCAATAGGTAGTCTTCATTATAGTAAATAGTACCCTGGGCTTTTCTTTGGGAAATGCCCAAATGTCAGCACTTGAAGTTCTTTTCTCTGGGATCATATAGTTTCTTCAGAGAATACTCTTCAAACCTTGACTGTGTGTGTAGGGTGCAGTGGGGGAGAGGTAGGTTATAAACATAGATGCTGATTTAAAGAGAACATGACAGGGGAAGAAGAACAACATTCCTGCAGTAAACATAGACTTTCACATAATTTTTTCTTTATTTGATGCTGTGCCTACTTTCTCTGAGTTTGGGCCTTCATTGGTTCAATTTATCCAGAAAACAAAATTTCCATCTTCTGTGAGATGGAGTTAACTGGCTTCATAGAGTGGGAGAGAGATCCTGGACACCCAACAACTCTGAACACAGACTTTAATGAATCTCACATCTCTAATCCTATTACCTTCCTACCTTCCCTGGGGATCTTCTGTTTACAAAAATTTTGCCTCTTACAGGCTGTATATCAAGTGGGTTTGTCTCTCTTTGGTATAACCCCTTGCAGACATTCAGCATGTAACTTTTTCTAATCTATGAATTCATTTGTCATTTCTCTGTTTTGGTGTCCCAGTAATGGGTTGACATCTCTCACCCATTGTCTCACCTCCTATTCTCTTTGTCCTTAGAGGTTTACATCTTTTAAAAATCCTTTCTGTTATTTTATTTGGCAGCCTCTTAGGTAAAGCAGAGAGGATGAGAACAACCTGCAATTTGAAAATAGAAAACTTCATTAGGATTTTTAAATCCTTGATGTCATATTTGAGGAATTTTTTTCCATGTTTTGATTTCATTCTCAGGAAAGGGAAGGGGGGCAAAAGGGTTTTGTTTTGTTTGTCTTGCTGTGTCATCCAGGCCGGAATGCAGTGGCACAATCATGGGTCACTGTAGCCTCAGCCTTTCAGGAAGAAGTAATCCTCCCACTTTAGCCTCCCAAGTAGCTGGGCCAGAGGTATGCGCCATGACACCCAGCTAATTTTTACTATTTTTTGTAGAGACAGAGTCTCACTATGTCGCCCAGGCTGGTCTGAAATTCCTGGGCTCAAGTGGTACTCCCACCTCAGCTTCCCAAAGTGCTGGGATTACAGGAGTGAGCCACCGAACTCAGCCCAGAAATTATTTAAATAACATATTAAGTAGATTTTGCCACAGTAACCTAATATAAATTAGAAATCTCCTGGCCCGGTGTGGTGGCTCACACCTTTAATCCCAGCACTTTGGGAGGCTAAAGCAGGCAGATCACCTGAGGTCAGGAGTTCAAGGCAAGCCTGACCAACATACAGGAGACCCCATCTCTACTAAAAATACATAATCAGCCAGACATAGTGGTGAATGCCTATAATCCCAGCTATTTGTAAGGCTGAGGCAGAAGAATCACTTGAACACGGGAGGTGGAAGTTGCAGTGAGCCGAGATCGTGCCATAGCACTCCACCCTGGGA